ATAATAATAATAATAATAATAATAATAATAATAATAATAATAATAATGATGATGATGATGATGATGATGTGGGGTGGGATGGGAAAGGATCAACTTCTATAGTATTTGAAAGGCTCTTATGGAAACATCCTCAGATCCACTACTAAAAGATCAAAGCTCAACCCTACTAAAATAAATGACTTATTTGCTCCTGCTAGTTATTTTACCCAATTGAAAGAAGGCTATTTCTCAGAGAACAAAATTTATTTTAATCTCTTACAATCACTTCCAGAAAGTAACCTAAGACAAATCTGGCCTTTGAGCTCCATCTAGAGGAAGATGTAAATTAAAATTTACTTTAGTTTTCCTTTCCTTTCCTATCTTTTAAGTCTTTTTAGTCATTTGTATTCAAAGTGTTTTCGTACGAAATATTGGGCTGGAAAAAAACACAGAAAACACTTTGAATGCAAATGACTAAAAGACTTAAAAGATGTAGAACATACTGTAGGCAGGTTTTTGTTTGTTTAAAATCACCATCTCTATTATGTAAACCATTTTACAATATGAGAATATTTCAAAATAAGATTGATTATATAACTGCTACCAATTGTTCAGTTCCTCCATAGTGCCATGAAAACCTACAAACGTTGCAAACTGAGTGCTGCTGTGTGATGATTGGGAGATGGAATAGCAATAGCACTTAGACTTATATACCACTTCACAGTGCTTTACAGCCCTCTTTAAGTGGTTTGCAGAGTCAGCACCTTGCCCCCAACAATCTAGGTCCTCATTTTACTGAACTTAGAAGGATGGAAGGCTGAGTCAACCTTGAGTCTGGTGAGATTCGAACTGCCACATTGCAGGCAGCCAGCAGTCAACAGAAGTAGCCTGCAGTACAGCACTCTAACCACTGTGTCACGGTGACCAAATGGCCAAAGGCTGACCATTTCTCCCAGGTTTATGAAAAACCATGGAAAAGGATATCTGAAAAATGCCCAGAATCTAAGCCTGGAAATACCTCAGCTGTCAGAAATTCAATTAGCAATAATGCTAGGGCCAGCATACAGTATTATTAAGAGGATATAGATGTGTAGAAATACGTGAGCTTATTTTTTAAGTTAATTAATACAAAAAAATTGTCCTTCCTTTCCTGTGTTAACCAAGTTTTTATATACTTTAACTGGTCTTGCATTCCACCCAGTTATGTTACCTTATAGATTTCTAAACCCTGAACAGGATTTAGTAGTGTCAGAAGAACAAAAGGTTATTAAAAACTTTCACCGAAAGAAGGAGGATGTGCAATATGCTGCAGCCCAGGGGTCAACAGCCCCTGGGTCACGGACCAGTGGTAGAAACCTGTCCGCGCAAATGAATGACGCCCCATCTGTACATGTGTGAGATGCAGGCAGCAGGTAAAACCACGTACCCTCCAGTCCGTGGAAAAACCTCTTTCCACAGAACTGGTCCCTAGAGCCCAAAAAATTGGGGGCCACTGCTGTAGCCAAAGCACATTATTCACTTCAGCACCTGTACCTTACCCAATAATTATATAAATTTTAATTATTAGCCATTAATATTGATTAATGTTTAGATCCCAAGCAAGAGGGATGGGAACATAATCTCTTTTGCCGCTCGCATACTTACCGTTAACATGGCAAACATGAGCTGGCACACGTTGAAAGCATGCCGCCAGTTGTGATACAGAACCATTCGGTAATTTTTCCTCACTGTCAAAAGCCACCTACACAGTGTCTGAAATGGAAAAGAAAAATTGCATCAGGAACACAAACAAGTACAAATGGGTCCTCCTTTGCCAACACAAAAGCAGCTGATTATCTCTGCAGAGCAGATGGTTACCTCATAGTCAATTCTAAATTTCTGAACTATTCCAAGCTCCATGAACATCCGGAGGGCTGCTGTTATCATGGCATCCGTATCGAGGGAGAAATCATCAAAGTGGACATTATCTATACCAAGTTCTGACACCAGAGGGATGTTTGCTGTCTGAAATTACACAGGGAGAAGGAAAAACGTATCAGGCCCAACTCAGCAATATTTCTACTCTCTTTCATGTACTGAAACATTCTCTAGATATACGTATAACTGGTGTAGCAGCCATAACTCTCTGATGCAAATCTGGGGAAAAAAACATTTGAAATGGATTTTCTGTTCATGCTGAATTGACATTTCAGCCCACAAGTACTTGAACTGCATGAACTTCCACTCATTTAAATTGCTTAACAACTTTTTGTTGTTGTTACTGCACTATTTCAGTGTTAATGCAAATCCTACGAGAGGAGAAATTCATGGCCTGGGAAAGGAAAAGGATGTGTGTGATGCCAATATATTCATTAAATAAAAACTCGCGTGACATTCCCGATTTTGCTGGTTTCCGATCACTGCCCATATACCAAGGAAATGTTCTGCTTTCTAGAAGATCCTTTTGATTGGCAGTGGGAGGAGGAGGAGGCTTACACAAGCCACCTGTTTGTGTTACTACTGGTTCGGTGATTACATTTTGCGTATGCATGCAAAAATCCTTAAGCTGTGTTGCAAGTGCGCAGTGTTTGAAAAGCCACTTTCCCCCTGCTTTTTCAACCTCAGCTGTGTCGCGCAAAGCAGCTGAAAAGCAGGAAATAAAGGACAGATAAGAGCCTGGGCAGGCGGCTGGGCCAAACAGCAGCAAACACAAAACCAGTTCGGTGTCTGCTGCTCTTCAGAACTACTGGTTCTATAGAGCTGGGCAGAACCGGTAGCATCCCACCTCTGGGAAACAGCATTCATATTTGTCAATAAATGCACTTGAGTGACCAGAGGCACAATAGAAGCAAACATAATAAAATAGAATAATAGAAATACCATCACATAATTGGTCTGCCTTAATAGCAGCTGAGTTTGGGGAATAGGGACTGGATAATAGACTTCTTGTTTTATATTATATGTATTTATGCCTGGCAAATACTCCTCTTTAGGATTTACTGCAGTAGTAAATAGAGATATTCAGAAATGAATATAAGTTTCAGAGGCCCATCTGAGATACCCATCTAGTAAAAACATGGCTTTAAATTAAATCGTAGTCAAAAATACACTGAATTAGGTACATTGCACAATGTTATTTTTTATTCTATTATCAAAATACTCTCTGCATTGATGTCCGTTAAAACTACCTACTAAGAAAATGAGAAGTGTCTCTTAAATGCAAATATTCATCAATAAATAACTACTGTAAGCCTTTCCATTTTTGAGAAAGATAGGAATGGACACTGTATATATTGCAAGCTAATATTCTTTTTTTGCTTATATGTATCATATATAAATATACACATAAAAATCATGGACTAAAGCTGGAAGCAGTGGTGTAGCAAATATATACTGTATGTAAAGGCAATTCCTGAGGAAGGTAGATTAAGAAAGTAATAAGCTGAAGGTACCTTTGCTCACCTAGGCTACAGTGTGTAATCCATGGATAATCATTGATTTTGATTAATGAATTGCATTTCTGCTTTAATTAGAAAACTATGTGATGAAAAGTTCTAGTGCATTCATATAAGACTCTGGTTGCTAACATATCTACCTTTTACCATGGAGAATCTGAAAAGTGCCATAAGCAACCATGACTGTGTATTTATGCCAACTGATGCTTCTAACAGAGAAAATTTATGTTGTTAACCAAAGAAATATAGTGAGGGCATAAAGATAAAAATGTCACAGTTATGTAGGTGAAACTTCTGCCTTATTTCTTCTATCATATAAAATATGTAAAGCTTGGCAAATTCAATTTACAAGAAAAGGAGATTCAATTTTATGCTGAGAAAGCAAATATTAACTTTGGAAGTAAATTAAAAGCAAGAGAAACAATATTTTATGCAGGCTAAATGCATTCTAAGCCTGTTATTGAATCCTTTCTTTTCAACCTTTACAAACATTTCCATATTTATATTACCAGAACCGCACAACTCAAAGAACCTTGTGATTGTGTTTACTTGGAATAGCGGTAGCTTCTCAACACAAGCAAAACCCTTTCGCTTTCTCTGATTGCTGCAGCAGACAAGGACAGATTATAAATCTCTCCACAGGAACTGGCCCCAATATCAACTCTGTTGCTGTTGACCCTTTGAGTGAAATATGCCTCTGGCTCCTTCATAATCAGTTGTCTGTTCAACAACACAATAAGAGCTATAGAAAAACAAAATACCAATGTGATAGAGATTCTCATGAACTGACAGACTTGAAAGAAAACTTGGTGGAAAGAAGAGACGTACGTTTGGGCTTCCTTGGGCTGCTGGTGAAGGCTCTTCTTAAAGTCCCAAGAACATCAGAAGCCAGCTCAGAAGGAGGCCTACCCTTTCTATGGTAGTTCATCACATTTTGATGAACCAAATCCAGTCCTATGGAGCCTGCTAGACAAGTCCTCTTGAAGAAGAGCTAGAGCCCACTTTAACAGAAAATTGCAAAAGAAATACTGGGCAGGAAAAAAAAAACAGTAAGTGCAACAACAACAAAAGCCAGTAGATGAACAATGGATAAAAGCTTTCATGCATTTTGGAAATATGGATATTCAGAAACATTGGCTTCTAGAACAATTTGCCATGGCGTGGATGCTCCTTAGAATGAAATGTCTCTTTTATGAATAATCTTTAAAGAACTTTAAAATTGTTGCTTTTATTAACCGTCAGCTATCATTCTGGCTGTATTCAATTCTATAATATAATGCTGGAAAATAGTAACAAATTCTTCACAAAGTTTCTCCTATGGAAAAGGATTTGCTGGGGAATAGCAGAGAGCACGGCTTCTTTTTAATTTGGGGAGTAGGGAGCTACAACATTGTAATTAAAACAAACCTTGTGACCACATCAGAATCTGAGGGTTTTTTTTAAATGTAATCTTGACTTGCAAATTAACTTTCATAAATATGTAAATTTATTTGTTAGCATGTTACAGGTTATACCCTTAGAAATCTGCTCACTTGTACACTTCACAACTGCAGTTTACGTATCTCTGTTTTCTTACAATGTTTATTTTAAAAAAAGTGAACTGTAAACATGCCCTTCAATTTCTCTCTTTTCTTTGGTATTTACATTACTTGGCAGATCAGTGATTTCAAACTTCTGGGGAAAATGTCGGGAAGTATCCAGGTCTTTACAATGTCCACATTTGCAGTTAAAATAAAAGCTTCCTTGACAGATCATCCATCAACCTATTTGGATATTCCCCTGAATAAAATTGCATGAAATTATCTGCATCATAAATCCAGAAATTATAATCCAAGCCCTGCTAGCTATCTTCAGCAATGACTGGTGAGGCTTGTTGAACATTTTTGGGATGGAACAAAGCTGTGAATATAAGTAAATCAGACTATTTCCTGTATATGCGTATACCCCTCTTCTACTCTTCGTACAGTAGAGTGAAGTCCTTGTTCTGTGCAAGTGGCTGAACAGTGAAAAGTAACAATAAAATAAAACCAGAAGCATGAATTTTCCTGATGCTGCAGATGAGAAAAGCTGTAAAAATAATCATAATAATATATAGCAAATTGATCATAAAGATCAATGAGCAAAACAAGTCAAAGTTGGTATGTATATTTTTTCACTCTATATTTAAACAGAAGTCCAGTAATAAAAAAAAGTAAGCACTAAATTGAAAGCGGAGGGAGAACATTTTTATAAAGTAACTGTTTACTTATGACAGTAATAAAAAAATGCCAGAATTATGTAGGGCAATCAAAAGTTATTTGAATAATAGAGAAATATTATCTGTGTGCCTCAGCTGCTGTCATTCTCCTAGCTTTGAGAAGCAGAATAAGAAGAAAATCATAGCTTTTTAATAATACAATTATAATATATATTATATAATATTGTAATAATTGGGTTATCATAAAAGATAGCTGAATAAAGTATTAAAATGCTTGCTTATAACCACTGCTACTCTGAAATTCCAGCTCTTAAATATTATAGATTAGGCAAAATGATTGCTTGAAGACCACGGGAAGCATCATATATATATTCTGAGGGCTCCTGAGTGAATAATAGAATTTATTCCTATTCAGACACCATCAGTAATAATAATTCACAGCCTGGACCAAAAGAATCAAGTTTAAAGCCCTTAACAACATATGATTCACTCAACAACTACACTGATTCATTGAACAACTATGGCAAAAACAGTCATAAGATTAGGTGTGACTCAGTTAATTGTCTTTACCAACAGAAATTCTGGTTTCAATTGTGGTCGAAAATTGAGGACTACCTTCACAAAGTTCTATTTATATCTTGTTTTCACTTTTTGGTGTATAATCTTATTTTTACATTAAGAATTTTTATATAAAGACCCCATTGTTTTAACATTATAGTATTGTGTTGGTAATACTAGATTTTAGGTATCTTTTATATAGGTTTTGCTCTTTTTACAGTACTAAAATGATCATAAAATGGTCTTGTTGATGTATAGTGGTTTATAACCAAAATAAAGATTTGAGTCATTGAGATACCATTCCCCATTAATCTTAGCCCCTTTCAGCTATTAATAAACAAAATACTTAATGTGGGAGCTGTCCAGAGAAATCTTTTCCCCGGATCACATCAAGCATATCAGCAGAATGAAAGCTGACTACAATGGCTTCCACGCCCACTGTCCTAATTCACAAGAACCAATGTGGTTGTTGTACGTATACATTTATAGCTACTGTACATATACATTTACGTTGAACATCAGGATGTGGGGAGGGTTATGCAAAGTACAACTGTGTCAACTACATCAGTTCTGTAATGCCTGACACCGGTAGAATAAGGAAATAACCTGGAGGGTAGGCCCAGGCCTGATTCAAACATACTATTCTGGTTGAATGTTGTCTATGAACTTGGCTCAGTAACTTCTACAACTGCCTGGTTTTCTTTAAAAAAAATCATACATTAAATGGACTCTTCCCCACACCACAGTTCTATTTTCATTAGTGGCCCTTTGGATTACAATGGTTTATACTGCTTTTTAGTTGCTTAGGTAATATT